TTATTCACGCCGTTAATGTTATCGTTTATTAAAAGATGACTGAGAGCGAAAGGTAATGTTCTGATTTCTAATTCAAAGTAGTAGTAGATTTCTAATTTATGTATGTAGAAGATATTATCTGTAGCATGTTATACTTTAGCGTTATATAAGTCTTGCGTACGAGCTCTGAACGTGATTTCAATGTACTAGAACGCTATTAAATTTTGTGATTATTTTATTCACTAGCAAAGAAGTTATTTACAACAGTCGTGAGTATTCTATATGTTAGAATTTATTTACAGGCTTTTTATATATTTGGATAAACAAGTTGCAGTTATCACACAGCGGATAATGTACTTGAAATTTGAGTAGTTTTACGTAATTATAAAGTTAAGTGCGTAAGTTTAAGTAGCGCGTTTGAGTAAGTGTAGGATTGGCTATTTCCTCTATTGCTAATACATGAATCCAGATGAGTAATGTACGCACGTTATGTACGTCACTACAAGATATCATGTAACTGATGTAAGGTATAAATAAGATTGATGTTCCTATAAAATATATAGCATAGGAATTTTCATCCTTTTATGTTCTACTCCTACATTCGGTATTTTCACGACACGTGTACAACATGACTGAATGCATTGTGGAATCACTGTTATCCCGCTCATTTGGATTGAGACCTTTTTCCGAGAAACGAGAGATCGTTGAAGGTGGCCGTCCCACTCCTGAGTTGCAAGGACTACATACAACATCCAAGCGAAGTGGTAAAGTCTTTATTCGAAGTTTTCATACGTCAAATTACGAAAAGTACAAATGGCTGGCTGGCTCCTCAAAATTGAATAAGTTATTTTGCTGGCCGTGTCTTTTGTTCAACTCAACAGACAAGACAGTCTGGTGCAAGAAGGGATACTATGATTTGGCCAACCTGTGTAATGCCGTCAACAGACACGAGAAAACGAAGACACACTTGTCCAGTTGCCTAATAAATGCCAGTTTTGGGCGTACACGCATCGACATGCAGCTAGACGAACAGGCCCGTCAACACATCTCAGCTCACAACTTGATGGTGCACAAGAATAGAGAAGTACTTCGCCGTTTCATTGATGTTGTTTGCTTTCTTGGCAAACAGGAACTTTCTTTCAGAGGTCGGGTGGAGCTGGAGGAGTCTGCCAACAGGGGCAATTACGTCGAATTGATAAAACTGCTAAGTGCATATGACCCCACGCTTGAACAGCATCTTCATACAGCAACCGTGTTTTCTGGACTTTCTAATCGTATCCAGAACGATTTGATTGTTGCTGTCAAGGACGTTATGTTGAAAGCAATAAAAGATGAAGTGATGAGGAGCCCATTTGTCGCTATTTCCCTGGATGAAACCTCCGACGTTAAGACCTTATCGCAGCTAACAACTATAGTTCGCTATGTCAACCCAGATGGTAAAGCTGTGGAGCGCTTTCTTGGATTTACCGATGTAAGTGAGGATAGAACTGCGGCTAGACTGAAACAAGAAGTCGGTAAAACCCTGAACGAGTACGGATGCGGCGAAATACTGATTGCCCAAACGTATGACGGTGCGAGTGTGATGTCAGGAGAACTGTCCGGTTTGCAAACACGAGTAAGAGAAGACTATCCACATGCTCTTTTTATCCACTGTTGCGGACACGCATTAAATTTGGTCCTTGTTCAAGCTGTCTCGTCAACTAAAGAGTGTCGTATATTTTTTAAAACCGTCACTGGTCTTTCATCCTTTTTTCACGCCTTGTCCAAGAGAACATACCTGTTGGACACAGTTGTCGGCAGACGCATTCCCACTGGAACAGCTGTTCGATGGCACTATCAGAGCAGGTTAATCCATGCTGTACTGGAGACAAGAGCAAAGCTGCTCGAAGTTTTCGAATACATCATCGAAAATGATGACGAGTTTGACGGTACGACGTTAAACGAAGCGAGGGGCTACCGAGAAGTTCTTGCAGATTTCCAGTTTGTGTTCTGCCTTAAAATATTTTCAGAAATATTTGGTCTTACGGATGTTTTGTATAATATCATTCAGAGTAAGCAGTTCGATATTGTCTTCTGTGTCACGAAAGTTCGCGAGACGAAAGATAAGATTCAAGAACAACGAACAAAATTCGTAGATTATTGGAATTTTACGTCAAGTATCGTCAAAGTAGCACTGAAACGCGGGAAAAGTGAAGAGGATGTAAAGGCGTCCTTCCGTCAAATGTTTTTCTGTGTGTCGATACCATTGTCGTGCAGATTGACTCTAGATTCGAAAGTCTTAACAGCAGAGCATTCGTTTCTTTGTTGGATCATTCAAAGCACAAATTGTACAGCCGGAATTTTCCCGAACGAGAGCTGCAATCGTTGCAAGATTCCTATGGAACATTCTTTAATCTTCAAGCACTAAAAAGTGAACTAATCGTTGTATACGCATCTGCCGAGCTCAAATCGAAACCTGTTTTGATATGATATCAAAATAATCGAACTTGACTTGAAAGCCTGTTTTCCAGAGGTGTACCGATTGTGTCAGCTCATTCTTACTATGCCAAGTACGTCCTCCTCTGCAGAAAGATCATTTTCGGCTCTCAAGCGTATCAAAACGTATCTTCGCAGTACACAAGGGCAAGAGCGACTTTCTGCATTGGCTACAATTTCAATCGAGAAGGAGATGTTGGTAAGTTTGCAGGGGAAGCCACGATTCTATGAGGACGTTATAAAGGAGTTTTGCGCAAAGGAAAGACGGATGGAATTTACATTTAAGTAAATCTGTTGTAAGATTTTGGACTATTTCGTTCTGTTACTTCTTCACTACAATAGAAATGCACTCGTAGCCATTTACTTAAAACGACTTTATATCACAATACCACATGTAATACTTTTAAACCGTAATTGTGATATATACTCTATAAAAGTTTTTGAATTTTTTCAATACTGTTTCAGTCATGACAGATACATTTTTTCGCCAAAGTACTCCCAGAAATCGCGGGAAATGCGCTCCAGTAGCCTTCAAAATCCAAAAATTTTATGGGGGAGCATGCCCCCAGAACCCCTAGATAGCTTCGCGGCATGCCGCGAACCTCACCCCCAGCGCTTGCCTATTAAATTCGGTCACCGCACGCCACTGGTACACACGGTTTGACGCAAAATGTGAATGAGTGTCTGAACGGGTTAATATGGGAAAGATGTCCAAAGTCCACATATGCGGAACAGGAAATTGTAGCACTTTCAAGCTACTTGGCTGCTCTTAAATACAATGAAGGAGATATATCATTCCTCAAATTATTTGGTGACTTAGACATACTACGTGGCATGTTTACTACAAATGGTGCATTGCATTGTGATACCAATCGAATCGAATCAAATTATCCTCGAAGAAGAGCACAGACAAGGTAAAAAAAAGAAGAAAAACACTTAGGCATACGAGAAAGAACTGTGTAGATAGTTGTGAACAGAATGAAGGAAAAACTTATGAAGCTGGTGCCTTCTAGTCTCAGTAAGGTCATTATAAAACTTTAAATGCTAATTTCTCCTTTTCCTTATTTCCTCTTAGAAGGAAATTTTTATCTGTTTTACAAGGACGAAGCTTCAAAAATGGAAGTTGCTGACCAAACAAACGCCAGTTTCAATCTCATCACAGTCACTGTTATTATCTATTTAATTCTTTACTCGAAGTATGAATGAGACCTATACTTCCTCAAAGAAAATCATGCGTTTGTAAATGATTATTCATGTGAAGGCCAAAACTTTAAAAAAAGGGGGGAAATGTTCTTGTTGCACTTTAGCTTGAACAGTGCTTCATAAACGAGTTAAATCGTGATAAGAGAGCAAATAATCTGAGCAACATGGTTTCGATTGAGAAATACCCATGTTTCTGCGGTGCAGGACTCGAGAGAATCCTATCTAAGAAGGACGACCGTGCATATGTTAAATGTAGAGGTGAAGGATGCACATTGTTCTGCCTCGAAGAAAGGTACCATATTATAATGGATGCCTACGAAACGAAAGTCGTGAAAGAATTCAAACCTAACAAGTTCCCCTTGTGTGAATGCAGTTATCCAGGCAGTCTCAAGGTCTCCCAATCGAGCAATAGTCCTGAAAGGCCATATTTTCGATGCCAATCCATCGCCGTCGAAGAAAAATGTAGCTTTTTCTATTGGCGGAGGGTAACTACGAATAGCGAGATCATTAAGAAAAAAAGAAAGGTTGAACTGAATGACCACAAGAGGAAAGGAGCTTTTAAACTTTGATTCGTTAAAGAAATGATTTATAACTATGTAGAAAAACCATCAATTGTAGAAATAGAAGAATGTAAAATAGTCAGAGAAAAATGGTCGCGCAAACTTGTAAATAGAAATCAAATGAAAAAATATCAAGTTGTCTTTGAATAACGAATAAAAATAGACGAAGGTGCCCATACCCATTCCCTGTGGCTATCATTGATTTCCGACACTTAAAGTTCACACCGTCAGACTTTTCCCATACACGATGTGGTGACAGATCATATTTTGTTTACATCCATTCATTAAAGTGTGTAAGAAAATGGCATGGAAAGCGGGTCTGAAGAGAAGAAATTAGCGAGTCGATTGATTTAATGATAACCGACTCCGATAAAGATGAAGAAGTCTTTTCCGAACGACAATCAAATGTGGAGTTTCTAAATGACAGTGACGTGTCGCATCTCAGGCGCATGTGCAGTGCATCTCAGGCGCATGTGCAGTGCATCTCAGGCGCATGTGCAGTGCATCTCAGGCGCATGTGCAGTGCATCTCAACCACTTACGAAATTGAAAGCGCTTGTGGGGATGCATACACCATAAAAACTCTGCAAAAAAATCCAAACATGCAAAGTGAAGGATGACCTCGCCACAATCGTCGTTTTATACCTTCAGTAAGTACCGTTTGTCTTTTTCTGTTCCTTAGGGTGCATGAATAAACTTTAAAAGAGACGCCGGTTTTATTTTCAGAAAAATGTGATCACTGTGATGATTATCTTGTAAAACCATCATGTGGCCATGTATCACATCTTGCTGATGTGATCGAGAAGATGTTTAGCAAGACGGACATTGTGTTTGAATGTCTAATTTGCGAGTATTTCGGATTCAGAGACGGATCGTCTTATGAAAGACGCTATCGAGTAAGTTTTTAATTCGCATGTAGTTGTCGTAAAATGTTTTTTTCTATGTAATATTACCACGCTTACGTATATGTATACAGAAGTGTTAACATGTAAGCGGTAAATTCATACATGTTTTTTTCTATTTCTTTCAGAACAATGTGTGATGCTTTAACTTTGAATATCAACTTGCAATAAATATATATTTACAACAGGTTATTGACTCGTGTTTCAAGTTTGTCTATATAATCGGACATCACATTCTACCTGCGATGATTCTCTGATTGGAAGCATTGCTTTCATACGTCAAAAAAACATGGGCGCTCGTTAGAAATTAATGTACAATCTGTTCTAGGGTTTAGAGAAATGGAAAAACGGCAGAATGCCATGCAAACATCTGCCAAGGTAATGTATATGCCTCCTCCACCCACTCGAAAGAACTTCACGAAGATCCAGAACAAAAAAACTGTTGCGAATAATTGAACAACTTGCAAATGATAGCATGACAACAAATGCATTTAAAATGAAAGAAGCATGTGGAAGTCATGAAGGAGAATGTGGAATATCCCTGGATGGAACATGTCAGAAAAGAGGTCATGAGTCACATAATGGTGTGGTTACTGCTATTTCTACATCAATAAAGACTTGTGTTGATGTGGAAGTTCCTTCTGATAAATGTAAAGAATGTCAAAAATGGGAAAAAAAAACAAAGTGATCCAAGATATGAAGTGTGGAAAGCCAACCATCTCTGCAAAATCAATCACTCTGGAAGTTACAGGAGCATGGAAACAGTTGAAGCAGTTAGAATTTTTAACTATCAGTGGCAACACGAGGTTTGACGCTATCGGTCAAGATCATTACGATCGTATGTCTGCGTATGTTGAAAAGCGTGATGCTTCTACTGCTTCTACTGTATCCCGATCTTCAAGACAAACTATTTGTGCTTCATCCTGACCATGAAAGTGAACAGCGTAGGATGCTTATCCGAATTTTACAATGTGGCCGTTCAGACTATTATCAACGAGCTGCTACGGGTTACTTGGCTATTTGCTTGTAAGTCAAATAATTAATATGCTTGCTGAATGTTGTAGTCGTTTTTTATGTAATGTCCATTGCTTTATACTCTAGTTGTTTTGACGAAGAAGTCAATAGACTTTTAAAAGATTTTTTCCAGTATGTATTTTTATAATTCTTTATCCTTTGCACATTGATACAGTAGAACAGTCAGTAAGATTGATTTTTTTATTTCAGAGTGGCCGTTAATAGTTTCTTCAATTAAAATGTTTTATTCAATAAAATTTATTTAAGAATATCAACGTCTCTTGTTCTAATTTGTTCTTTTTTCTCCCAAAAATTTTTTTCTCTAATCATTGCACATCATAGACCATCGTCGGAAAGTATACATACAGTGTTTCAATTAACATGCCATATTGAATGAAAGTATCTGGATAAGTTCGGATACTTTAAAAGGAGAGAAATCATGAGCTTTCGGCCTTTCGAATTGCACATACGCATTCATACACTTGCAGATACAAGTTTCCAAGCGGTATGGAATCTTTAAAGGATTTGGCCACAAAAACTACACTTTTAAACATACATAAAGCTTTTGGGGGGAAAGACCAGATGAAACCACAACACAATATTCAAGGCACACTGTTCAATGGTAATTTTCTTTTCACAACGCATGCGCTGTGTACTTCAACCACTTGAAATACTAAAAGTGTTTTGTATGTGTTAAGACGATAAAAACTCTGCAAAAAATCAAGACACGCAAGTCGCAAAGTCTGGAAGAATGGCATCGTCGCAGCCAACATCAAGCGAATACCCCGAAATTAGTAAGTGCGAGTTCTTTCTGTTTATTTCAAATTAGCGAATGTTTTTTATCTTCAACAGAATCTATCTCCTCATTTTCAGAAAAATGTAATCGCTGTCGTGATTTCTATATCACGGCTAAATGTGGGCACACTGTTCATCTCTCCCCGTTGATGGAGTCATGGGGAAAATTCCAATGCAAAATTTGTGGGTTTGTATGCCTTTAAAGATATTTTAATCTCAGGTTGCGTTTCATGTCATTGATGTTTACACTTCATTCATGTAGTGTATCGGACGCTGGTGTCAAATAATTAATATCTAGTTGTTTTGACGAAGAAGTAGATCGCTTCTTAGAAGATTTTTTTCAGTAGGTATTTTTATAATTCTTTATCCTTTTCACATTGATACAGTAGAACAGTCATAATAACCACAATAACAAGAAAAAGCTTACGCATAAGACGTGGTTAATCAACTGACCACAGTCTACGCGCAAGCGGTTAACCCTACGTCATTGTACGATCACTTACTTATAAGCAGAGAAACGAAAGCTTTAGTCATGTTGGTACTCAGTAGAAGTCCACATCAAAAGAAAGTCACAAGTAAAAGTTAAACAAACGAGAAACCCGAAAAGAACTAAAGAAAAGAAAACGAACCATCTACGAAAGAACTAAAGAAACCAGAACATATCCATCAACGAAAGACTCATTGAAAACAGTTGTCCTAGATAAGTTTAATGACCTTTAACGTTATTTCACAGTCTTAACTGATGGTGCTTGAAATACATTAGGCCTGCGGACATAAGACTTAATTTACTGTTTTAATGCTTTAATGCCCTCATTCACTCTGAAACGCACGCATGCCAAGGAAATAATCGATCCATTGGAAAATTACTGCTAACAAAAGAGCCTTTGTCAATATTTTGCATGTAAAAGCACTCACGTTAAAGTCTCAGGCAAAGTCTTCAGTAAATTTCACCCTAAAAACTCCCCTTCTAAAGCGAATTTTTTGTTTCTACTTTTGGTGGATGTTATTCAAAGCCTTCTCGTTAAGTTACATCGTGTAGGTTGAAATTTGACACCATGGTAACTCTCAGAATTTCATATCAAAGCTTATCGCGTGCTCGCATTGTTCGAAAAGTTGCTCTTCAAAAAACATTATATTTTGTATCTCTAAGGAGAAAAGTCTTTTTGTTAGTATTTCGGACCTTTCCTTTTGTTATTCCGATAATAATCAGATTGAAAAATAATAAGGAATAGTCGAAATAGAAAGAGAAAAGCTGTTAGAACTCCGCCATCAAAAATGGCAAAGAAGTCAAAACATGGCGGAAACGATGACGCAAACCCTGGACCTTCTGGAAAGAAAATAAGTCATCAAACGAGGAGCATTGACGAAACTTTTAATAATCTACACACTGAAAAAGAAGTCGCCGTGTTTATGGACTTGTCTTTGCTGTTTGGTGTTTTTGATGAAATTTTAAAATGCCCTGATTGCGAAAGCAGTTTGGAATCCCATGTTGACTTGAGGAAAAGGAAAGGCTATACACATTATATTGTCCTTCAATGTAAGAATAAAGAATGTGAGTGGAAGTATAGTTTCAACACATCTAAAAATCAAGGCTGTTCACACGAAGTTAATGTCCAAGCAGTCCTAGCCCTAGCATTTCGAGAAATTGGTCGAGGACAAGCTGCAATGGTCACATTCAGCAAGGTCATGAATATGGCTCCATCACCAACTTGCCGAAGCTTTACAATGATCCAAAATGGAAAGCTGTTACCAGTTGTTTAACAATTGGCCAATGACAACATGCTCAGCAGTGCTATGCATGTTAAAGAGGAGAATGGAGCACCAGAATGTGGAATATCTTTGGATGGTACATGGCAAAATAGAGACCATGATATGGGAAAGATGTCCGAAGACCACATATGTTGAACAAGAGACTGTTGCTCTTGCAACATACTTGGCTGTACTTAAATTTAATTATGGGGACATAAATTTGTTAAAGATATTAAAGGGGAACTCCACCCAAAAATAATGTTGGTCTTAAAAGTTCCATTTTTATGCAAAGGCTACTATATTTTTGAAATTTTTACATCAGCTATTTTATTTTTGACAAAATCGCGTCTTCAAGTGCGCTATTTGAGCTGTTTTGAGGCTTAGCAGCGTGGGCACAGAAAGTGTCAGCGGAAATTATTTTGACGTCATATCGTCAAACCGATTTGGAGTTGAGTTTACAACAAAGTAAAATAATAACGCACAGCCTAGCACAAAAACAAAACAATCGCTTATAATGGCTTTTTTGGAAGAACCTCGGCCTAATTCACCAATCGATAGTGAAATGGAAGACAATCCAACAAACAATATTCGGCCATATCAGTTTGAGCCCGAATGGCCGGCTGATGAACACGAAGAAGCTCACCAGTTTGAGGATAACGAAGAACAGGAATTTTTGTATATTGACGATGAATCTCGGCGCGACAATCTTGAATGGTGGGTAGTAAAATGTTATATTATTCTAGACCATTGTTTCTATCTCAAAAGTACGTTTTCAGTTTTTGAAGTTGACCACGTCCACACACACATAATACTTTAGATTTTAAAGTTTTATTGTAAGATACAATTTTATTGAAGTTTTGACATTTACTTTTCAAGATCCTTTCTTTTAACATATTCAGGTGTCAATGTGGTAACTGCCAAATAATGGATAATAACGAGGAATGTTTATGCTGCAAAGAGATTTCCAATATTTGTGACAAAAATTTAGAGGCAGTAGAAACGAATGAGACCACAGAAGACCCTTTCTGCCTTACACAACATCCTGGTTTTGAGCCTGTTTGTCTTAATAGGTGGGTTTTACAAACAGCTTGGTACCAGTACAAGCAGCAATATGAGGTAGCATATGATGGGCCCGAGGACAAACTGTACCGCCATATTGCATATAGACAGTTGGCTAGATGGTGCTGGGGTGTCTTGGGTAGAGAAGTGAGAGTCATCTTGCCATCATGTGCAGTTACTCGCATTAGAGAAACATTTCCTCCACCTGGCCTTGCAGAGGAATTTCAATTTGAAGGCTTTCACTATGTTGATGAATGAAGTATTTTATTATGATATAGGTATATACCCATTACAATTACTTTGTATGTCAATATTAAAGTGGCATAGCCAGCTCATTTATAGGTCATGCTATGCACATTTATTATTATTAATTTATTACAAAAAAAAACAGATTTACAAAGAAATGATTATAAATGTGGCTTGGCTATTACACTGGTTATAATATAACTATAATTAATTACATGAATAGTTTGTGTAATGCAGTGGTGAAACTAGCTATAGCAAAAGGTTTTGCTATGTTAATATTTAAGAATGAACATTTTTTAAGTAGTACAAAAGTTGTCTTCACTGATTCAACATCATATTATATGGGTATGGCAAAACCTATTGCCATAGCTAACATCACCACTGACATTTTATGCAAATCTAGACTGATGTTCCTTTACAAGTACTTCTTTCCTGGGTGGACATGATTTAGAAATGTTCTTTGGAAGATTCTCGCCATGATGTACAAGTTCAATCTCCTCAGTTTTGCATGCATTCACAACCTCCGCAAGTAGTTTATCAATGTACTGGTACTCTTTCTTTTCTTTCATTGCTTTTACAACCCATTGCTTCTGTGTTTTAGCAAAAAACATTTTGTAACGGTCTTGCCCTTTGTTTGTCCCTGACTTAATGACTGCTTTATCACGTTTAATATCGTTGTTGTGATCTAATGCTGCTAACTGAGTGCGGGCTACCATCCCAGGAAATGAAAAATGCTCTCGCTTTGGGCAGGTCTTTTAGAAGCCTCTTGTCACATATCACCTTCTCTGCAGCGATATATGCTTGTGAAGTAGGAGATAACCACTTCTTCTGCTTTGTTTCTTTTTCTGTTAATTGTTGGTGACAACATTGATGAAAATATGTGTTCCCCTTCCAGAAATGCTTGTTGGAAATGTGGTTAAGGACAGACTTCCATTTTTCCACCAATTCTTCTGCATTCTTGTTACAACTTGCAGAGCACCACCAAAGATGATTAGAAATGGACTTAATCCAATGGGTCAAGTCATCATTTCCCTTAATGTTAGCCTTCTTTGTTAGTTTTTGTGACAGATTTAGACAAATGCCACACATCATATTGGTGATCAATATGAGGGTGTTTGTTTTCAACCTCTGCATCCACAGTATTCAGCATCGACAGTGTAGTTTGGACTTCCATGGCATGTAAACTCCTCACAACAAATGAACACTGTGTTGATGCATCTTTGGTTTGTGGCTTGCAATAATTAGTTGGCAATGCTTCAGGACTGTCAGACGCACCCAAATCACAACTGTTATTTGCTTCTGGCTCAACCACTGAGAAAACATTTGTACTTGTGGAGGAACATTGTTCTAAAATATTTGAAAGCTGAAAATAGAAAAAATAGAAATATTTAGAATATACTTTAGGCTATAACTTTTTCTTGATTAAAATTTAACAAGAAATGCTTTTACTAACTGCCTCCTTGTCTTGGTCAGCCTGACGTTTCTCTGTACGATGCTCGCTAGACAGACGCTTTTTACTGGGTTGAGGGCCAAATGAAAAGATCGATGGTACTGCATCCCGCTTCAGTCGCCTTTTTAAAGGTTGCCATGGTGTAAGTTTCTGTCTTAGGTCCGATTCAAAACAATCGGGAGCAAAGTGCTCGCTGCAAACGTAACAGTATTGGAGAGGAGGTAGATTTTCTCTCCGTATTCTAGCAATCCATTATTATACAATTATGTACAATAATTAGGAAACTATAAGTTCATACTTTGCGTCAAGGAAACTACAACTTAATTCTATGCACGAAAGGCTATTTTTACAATGGTTTTATGTAGGATTATTTTCTAACCGTAATGAGTTACACAACCATGTTTATTATTATTCAATGTTTATTAAGGGCAATAGATTGGTTTCACATCAGTGGAAACTGTTGTTAAGGTCGAATTCGGAGGACAAGCAAACGGCATTACGCACAGTTTCCACACAAAGAAACCTTCGTATTTTTTAAAAAATAATATTAATCGACATTCAAGTTCTATATGTAGTGCGGAAACTGTGCGTAATGGCCTTCATGGATGTGAAACCGTTCTATTAAAACAGAATACAAATAACCAGCTCAATACTTGCATGTAAGCTATAAAAGTTGCTTGTGTATATACCTACGAATAAAAAATTCTGACGTTTCGAAAAGAAACATTTTGTGATTAGGAGAAGCATTTTGACGCAAGTTTATTATGACTGTGCAATGACTTTACATAAAGCTTTGAGGAGCAATTGACGATATGACGTCAATACAAGCCGCTGACATATTTCTGCTCCCACGCACCGGATACCCTAGCTGCAGCATTTCAACTCATTTTTTGGTGAAAATATTGAATCAAACAAACAAAAAAATTGCCGCATATTTATTTTCACGGACAGACAAAGTTTTAAGGCCAACATTATTTTTGGGTGGAGTCCCCCTTTAAGTGAACTGGACATAACTCCTGGAATGTTTCCAAGTAAAGGGGCTCAAGAATGTGATCATCATCGGATAAAGTTGTCGGCAAAGAAGAGCTCAGAGAA